ATAAATTATAAAATGAAAATTATTATGAAAATAAGCTCAACCATGCAACAAATTTAATTACATCATTTACTGAGTCAAAAACCACTTGCCAGCCCAATGATAATCAATTCGTTTTACATGAATTATTATATTACTATTGGCACTGGGTTAACGTATGTCCTACTATCTTCATATTAATGGTTCGTTAATTATTCGTTTAACTTTGTCGAATACCATCAACGGGTTACGCACAACGTTTATACTATATAGAGTCAACGTGTAAGGGTCTAATTCAACAAAAATGAGAAAATATATCGTGTACCACTATAATGAATCATGACGTGTGCCTATATTTTTCATTTATATTCCTTATGCCCTAAATTTAATTTGATCCTTTTGTTTATTTAACTATCCAAAAACTAAAAAAATGCAAATTCTTGAAGTCCTAATGCTTACAGTTATAAGATATATGTAATTATTATGGTTGTAAATGTGTTGCTTACAACCTCGAGTACCTATACCTACCTATCTTCAAGCACTCTAACTTAGTTTAGTCTTTGTTACATCACTATAAACCTAATATATGGGGTTAGTTTTTATGTTACAGATATCCAAAATCAGATGTTACGGATTCTGTAAATCAATAACCATAGTTTCAAACATTAATTAATATCCACTTTCATAGAATATTTGATTACATACTAACAACTCCTATCGATTACTCATTTCCGCACTTCACTGTGGTCACTTTGACGTTTACTAGTACTTATTGATTAAAATTATTAAGTACTTTTTGACTATAATGGTAGTTGGTACTTAAATAAAGTTTTGAACTTATTAAAGTTATACGGGACAATACAATAGCAATGGTATAAATATGTAAGAAGGTGTATTGATTTTATGCTGATATGGTTATCGAAGTGTTATTGAAGTTGGTTATTTATATGAAGATATTTTATAGTAAACTAATTAATGTTTGATATTGGAACTAAAATGAATACACTTAACAGAAAACATTATGGTTGTCGAGCCCTAGAGCAACCTGTAATAAATTTAAGTTTGGGACCCCACAATTAGCTAGAAAGAACAGAAAAGATGTACAGTGTAAATAAATTATGTTCAAAATGATGTAGTGTATTCAAACATTGTTAGACGGCCATTAAATCTTGTTGTTTTAATAAAACATTTACAGTTTAGATAAATTTGACCTGTAGTTAAAAAGCTGATTTTATTTATAATGAAGTATTAAAACCTACTTACAAACGTGAATATAATTATTTAAAAAAAATACATAAATAGAAGAAAACATTTTCTATAATATCTCACATAAGTTTCATAATATACTATTATCAGTGTGACGTTTGTCATTAGTTTAATAACCTTTAGGGTTTTTATCTCAGACCCGTCTACCACTGTAAGAATTTCTATAGTAAAATTAATTTACAAGTCCCTCATTATACATAAATAAATAAATAAATAAATAAATACGTGCTCTACCTATTTATATATTATTTTCATTCATTAGGTTCTTTAATTTACATATTATATTGATATACCTATACTCATTGTCTTAATAAAAATAATGCATTTATATATAATACTAGCAGACCCGGCGAACTCCGTTTCGCCACCAGATTCGTTTTATGTTTTTTTTCGTTTGGTGATTAAAATATAAAGAAAAAAAATTTTTTTTGTTATATATTTGAAAAGGAAAATATTTATTTCATTTCACAACAGTAATAAATTCATTTCAATTACCTACTAAAATGAAGTGTTATTTAATTGTTTCATTGTAGTGCTCTTTGGTAAACCACATTTTTTGTTTTTTGGTTTGACGTTAACACAAACAAAGCGGATGGTTTCCCAACTCGTGAACACGCAACGTATAACTGTCCATGTGAAAAACAATGATTTTCCAAATTTATCCCGCAAACACTAAGCGATTGGCCTTGCGACTTATTAATTGTCATTGCGAACGCAAGGCGAACTGGGAATTGCAATCGTTTGAAGTCAAACGGAAGATCAGTCGGAATCATTGGTATTCGAGGAATACATACATTTTCACCTGCGTACTTTCCGTTAATAATGGTTGCCTCAATTAAATTCGGCATAAGTCTCTTTACCGAAAGTCGAGTACCGTTGCAAAGTCGCGGTGGATTCAAATTACGCAGTATCAAAATAACTGTACCAACTTTCAGTTGCAAATTATGTGGTGGAAATCCTGGTATCTCCAGAGAGTTCAAAAACTCCGTTGGATAATTTACTACATCATCGGGATTTGTTATTGAATCAACGGATTTGTATGTCACCAAATCGCCAGCAATTTTTGATTGAATGGTGAAATTCAGTGCGTGGACATCATTATTCTTTGCTGCAAGAATTGCTCGTTGACTTAACCAAGCATAATTCTTATAATTCTCACTAATGTTTGGGAAAACATTTTCAATAAGAACTAATTGAGTGTCTACAAATCGGCAAAAGTCGTTGGTAAGAGTAATTAATCCAGATGTCGCATCAACTGGGACTTTTCCATTTCCAAGATCTAACAATTGTTTGGAAAATTGTGCAGCACTTTGATCATTTTGAAGTTGAACTCTCATATTAGTGGTTAGCGATAATGTTTTTACGTTATTCCATAAAGGTGATGCCTTTAGGCAAGCATTCAATTCATCTGCAGGCGTTCCACGGGGAACTACTGGCAACGTCTGCCTGAAATCGCCTGCCAACAATATCATCAAGCCGCCAAAGATGTTGTTATTTCTCCGAAGATCCTTCAGTGTGAAGTTAAGTGCTTCAAGTGATTTCTTATGTGCCATTGTGCACTCATCCCAAACAATGAGCTTGCATTGCATTAACAATTTTCCCATTGCACTGGATCGGGAAATATTGCACGTTGGAGTATCAATTGTGTTTAAATTGAGTGGCAACTTAAGCGCAGAATGTGCAGTACGACCGCCATCTAGAAGAGTCGCCGCAATTCCAGATGATGCTAACGCCAAAGCTATGTCACATCTTGATCGAATAGTGGCCAAAATCAATGAAATGACAAATGTTTTCCCTGTTCCTCCAGGTGCATCCAGGAAGAATAGACCACCGGTATTATTGTCCACCGCTTGCATTAATGTTTTGTATACTTGTTTTTGCTGTTCATTCAGCAACGGAACATTATTTCTAACGAATTCCTGCAATGTATCAACATTGTATTGCAGCTCTCGATTTAATTCTTGGTTGAATGCATCGTGCATCGATCGATTTGGCGCAATCATTCCTACTTCAATCAGTAGCTTGTTTGCAATAGTCAAGCATTGATCCTCAATCAGAATCAATCCTTCATTGTAGATTTCATCGGTTATTTGGATGTCAAGATTATTCGTTTGAATACGCAAGCGATGCAAGATATCTTCACATATGGCGTATTTGTATTTGTTCCATAACTGAATTGGTTGTGAAGGAAAACATGTGGTGATGATAATTGCGAACAGCGTTCGTATTTGGTACGCATTTGATGAAACAACTGAATCTGCAAGTGTTAAATCCCAATGAGAATCGTTCTCCAGCAAACCCAATAGTTGACATGCTTCTCGATATGTTTGGCATTGGTGGCCATTCACAGTTTTCAAATGCGCAAATGATTTCGGTCCACGTACATTTACTAACAGCAGTCGCAAATAAAAACATTCATCGTTTCTAGGATGAACAGTGTACATACGACCTAGTGCATCAGTTGAAAACACCTGTGGCCAGTCTGGAACTGGGGTTCCTTGTTTGCGACGTTGGAATTTCTTTGTTGATTGATTCCAAGTGTAATACTTGGGCATTTCAACGTACATAGATGGCGCTGTATGTGAAAAACGATTTCCCCACTTTTCTGTTGAATTTTTCCTGAATTTTCCAGAATTTTCTTTGCTATAAACCTCACGGAGCCCAAGACCTTTCCAACGAATGCAAAACCGTGGAAATCGGTTCGTGCGTTCTCGAGTTATAGCGTCAGGGAGGAAAACCGGACTTATTTTTATATAATAGATTATAATATAAATGGTTGCATTTTTGTACTGAAATAAACAGTTATGTATATTTGCCCAACCTGATACTTTATAATATAATATGTACCAATAACTAAAACCATAGATTATGAATACTAGTATTAGTATTAGTATTCATAATGCTACAAACAAAAGTATTTTAAAATTATTTAAATACTAACTTGTAGAAAGTTTATACATTTGTACATAGATACTATTTTAAGTACTGTGTACAGCACTGATTTAATGTACCTAGTTAAGAAGGTGATGAAAATATTTTGATTATAAGCATTATTTTAAAGTTCTTGAGTGGAATTGCATATAATATAAAATTATTATTAATATTTATGTAGTATCAAGTTTTTTAAATGTAGTACAATTTATATACTTTATTAGGTAATTTGTTTGTTTTTTAAATAAAATTATAATAATGTAAGCCCATATTTTATCAGGTTTTATAAATTAGGTACATTTTATTTTTATGTGTTATATTGTGATTTTTTGATTTTATTTGTCCTTATTTTGATTAGTCGGTATAATTTAATCTGTCGATATTTCGTACCTGTCGACGCTCAACGTTTCGACCATCGGTGTTTTGAATATTACATATTTTAACTGTCAGCGTTTCAACCGTATCCCATTTAAAATAGCAGATTCAGGTAAAGATCAGGACGTGTATTCAATGAATTTGACGTAATATGAATATATTTTGAATACTATATCGAGAAGACGGTAAATACTTAAATTTGTTTGATATATAAGTATATTTTGTTTGTTGTTTTAATTTTAATATCCTTTAATAAAGAGTACAATTTCCCTCATATGAACTCTTTTCGTTGTCAAGCAATTTGTTATTTTACCGTTGTCAAGCATATATAAACAATTTATTTAATGAAGCGATAATATTTGAAGTCTAATTAAATTCAAATACCTACAATTACAATTACAAATTGTACTTGATTTCAATGGCAAACGATCCTTTACTAAAAAGTACACTTTCTATTCTGGTATGGATAGTACGGAAAACTGCGATAGTGGAAATATAACTGAGGTTTTGGAATCCGCCAAACTTTCCATCATATGAATTGAAGTTAATGAATAATTGTATTGTAATGTTACTTCGCAATTTAAATTTTGCCCAAGGTCTTTGCAATGACAAGGGGCTTGAAGTATTGCAATTGGCATATAATCTTCTAAGTGTCGAATATTAGCTGGTGACAAAGCTGGAGCTATTACATTCATACATCGTATAACTTTGTACTGTGAAAGTATTTATCCATTTACTTTTAAGCGATGACAATTTCTTGTACTATTAGCTTTTCCAATGACCATAAATAAAAGCCAGGGACAGATTTTCTATAAAATAGGATTGGACATTCGTAGAGATGTATTCAATCATGGTCAATATTATACATTGCCTTTTCACGAGTTCGATCTTATCAATAATTACGAATTTTTGTAGGAGATAACGAGATAATAACAATATCAAGAACTACGTTTACACAGAAATTTATAAATAAAAAGGTGGGCAAATGGATGTCACTCTGCTGTACAGTAGGTTACAAGTGAGTCACTGTAATGGATGGTGTTAAATTTGAATTCAATGATATAATATAATCATTGTATAAGAAAAACGATTCTGAACGAAAACGGTCAGTTAGCCTACGATATTACTAAGTATATTTGATGATATTATTGTGAATAAAATAATTTATATACAACATATCTAAGTGGAATCATGTTTTAAATGTTTAATCCTTAGCTATAAAAGTTTAACATTTTATACATTTTTAACTAAAAAATGAGTATTAAATTTCAAATTTGATTTTGTCAATATTTGAACTTAAATGCTTATAAAAAAAAATTGTGACTATGGATTTTTAAATTTTTTCATCTGCCTTTGAAACAATATACAAGGAGCCTTCTATTAAATTTCAAGCTTTTTTAACCAACAAATAAAATTTTAATTGATGTTTATAAAAAAAACTAAAATAAATGGAAACTGAAAATGTCCGTAAAGAGCTCAAAATATTTGTAAAATGTTATGGTGTATAGAAAATGCGAATATAAACATTCAGTCAATTGTTTAAGAGTTGCACCAAAAACCAAAATTTATTTTCTCGAAAACAGATTTTTCGCAAAATTTCCCGTTTTTCCTTAATTTTTCTTTTGTTTATCACCGAGCTTTTGAAAACGACTGGGAAATTTTTACTTTCGACCCCCCAAAGTACCAACTAGATTCACTTTCTATCAGAAAAGATACTGTTGAAAAATATCTAACCATTTTTACCGTCCTAAAAGGTGATGACAAGCACGAAAAAAAACACACGTCATTGTAAAATCAATACATTCATCGTTTCACTCACAATCTAAAATTAAGGTATTGTATAATTTTCTCGAGATTTAGATTAGAACCATAAAAGATTTTATCATTATACTTTAATATAATTATCTACAGTGTAGATAAAAAACAATTCAAGATTTCAAACAAGCAGATACGCCAACAAATTTACAATCCCGCGAAGTGCGAGTTCGGTCTCGTCATTATACAAAATAAAGATAGAAGTCACTCAGCTGAATCGTAGGTGTCAATTGCACCTTGTCGTTGAGTAGGTGACTGTAATGTATGTGTTAAAATCGAATTTAATCTTTCATATCATTGTACACGAAAAACGATTCCGAGCGAAATCTGTCATCCTATATAACTACTTGTAAGAAATTGTATAATACTTTTACTCTGCTATTAATAATTTATTTTTCTATAATTTTAATACGGTAGATTGAACTAAATTTTGCCAAAACCAAATATCAAATATAATATTATTAACTGTTAGTTATAATTAACTTGTAACTTATAAGTTAATACCGAAGAATGATGTGAAAAAGTTTGTGTTTTAAATAACATACAGTTACCTAATGTAAATATTTTGAAATGTTATTCTGTATAGCCGTGCCTAGGTATATAGGTACCTATGAATAATGGTGAATGATTAATACTTTTTGAATTTCAACAAAATAACTAAAATATTTATTTATTAAATATCCAATTTCATAAAAATTTGAATTAGAATAGCTCATAAGAAATGTACATAGCATAACGATAAACTTTTTTCATAATAACAATAATTCCTGTAAAAATATGAGGAATCTTTTTACAATTTTCTAGACTTGTGTGTTAAATTAAAAGAGACAAAATAATTTAGACCGTTTTGTGAATTTAACGAATGTCACAAAAATTTAACATATTATATAACGCTTATAAATAAACTGTGCATTCAACAAGATCAATTTACAAGGATATTTTTGTAGTACATTTACAATAATTTTTACTCACGAATAAAAAATGTTAACTCTATAAATAACACAGAAAAATCAAAAATAAATTAAAATTGTATTATGCATAAAAAATTATAATATAAATATTTGTCAAAAAATGTTAGTCTCTACAGTTATTATTTTTTGTATTACAACAAAAAATCTAAATCGATTATTCTCTTGAGAACTGATTTGTTGTAAGTAACAACTAGCATTTTTTTCCTGATTATTTTTACCAAATCCACCAACTAGATCGAATTTGCTATCGGAAACGGCAATATACTTATTAATATAATTTTTTAGTTAAATTAACTATAAACATTATAAATTGTTAAAAACTAATATTATTGAGTCTTTATTTTAATTTTACATTCAACTGGTCTAATAATTTATGTTTTGATATAGATAAAAAAATCATAGGTGAATTGAAAAATATACAAGCCATATTCAAATGTAATATAGTTAAATGTATATATAACATCATTTTAGGCAGTTAAACATCGAAAATCAAGTTGTATGCAAATTTTATTTTCTGTTGAAGCACCAGGGAACAAAAAGTTTCCAACGTATGTATTTTGTTTATAAAAGTTTTTAAAATACTCCTTAAATTAGCAGGGGGCCAAAATATTTTATTTATGGAAAGTTTTAAAAACTAGCTTTTATTCCAGATTATTTTGAATAAACTAATTAGTAATTTTAACAGTTGCGAAAAAATAACATAACAAATTCATTACAATATTTTTTTTCTAATGATTATAAAATCAGACTTTATATTTTTTCTGTCGACTAGAATAAAGATCTTCGTTCAAATAATTGTATACAAATTTAACAAATCGTTTTATTTCCTTATTGCTTTCTATCTATATATTTATATATATAAAGTAATTTATATTATATATAATATTTTCATTTCAAATGAAAAATATATTTTTGTAACTGAATTATAAAACTGTACAGACAGACGACTATTTTTTTATAATATCTGAATACAATTTATCTCTAAGGTAAAACAGTTTTATAAACTAGAAACAAATATGTTTTAAATTTATTCAGAGTTATTTAATATTATTATTAAATTAAATATTTATTTAGTAATTAAGTATTAATTATTGCGTTAATTATTACGACTCTGTGAATACACTTGCATTACTGTTGTTTATTCAAAATTAAGATAATGTATATTTTAAATACTTGGAATATTTAAAGTAAAGAATTCTAATCGATAGATTGTAAATAGAGTCTAGATTGAACTCTTCAAAGCTACATTTTGCATTATATTAAATTTTTCTGTGCTTAAAATAAAACCATTGGCCACCGTCAACAAACAATAAATAAATATAAATAAGCTCCAATATAAAATAATTTTTCAAATGAAATGATTTATTACGTATTTCTTAAAATTTAAATTTAATACATTATCATAGCACACCACAAATGTCCCGCGCGCACTGATATGAGGTGAGTGAATTGCGCGAGTCTTTGAACACTTGCCAACACTAATTAAAAAATTTAGGCTTTTGCAAATTGCTTATTTTACTATTTTAAATAATTATTGTGAACTGTAAATTATTGCCATTAATTTAATTTAAAATTATTTATTATAAGTTACGTATAGAAGATTTGATATTTCGTGTTCTTAGTGAGGGTATTAACATATGGTTTAACAAGTTAAAATGTTTCGGATGGTGTCTGATCTGACTAACGAGATGGAAAATCTAAAACACACAAGGGTTCTGGATTCGTAAACAACCCCCAATATGCGAATTTTGGTGTTTGCTGTGAAATTTTTGAACAATTTTACCAGGCCTTATGACGAGTTACCACCGTTAATGGCTTTTTAATTGGCTTTCTATGGTTTTCCGATCAAACGCTGGCCTCTGTTCTCTTTTATCCTCCCGTGCCTCGCGCATGGAAAACCCGTAGTGATTTATGATCCTGACAAAACGTGACTTCCCAGATTTATCCATACATATATTTTAAATACACTAATGAAACGATTTGATGGCCCCAATAAATATACTTTGAATAATTTAAATAAAATATATACCCCTATAGTTTATTTTTATACAATGTATTTACTCAGTAAATCGTATATATTTTGTTTTTAAATAAATGATGAGTTAAAATATGTCAAGACCTAGAAATATATTTTTCTGGAAAAAAAAAATAAAATGTTACTGCATTTTGTAACTTTATGTCAGTTTTTGAAATGTTATAAAAAATAACAGAGAAATTATAAAAATGCTGACACTTTTACACTACCATCTATGCAACGCATTAATTAAGGTATAACAAAAAACTCTTTTTCCATCAAAAAATGTTTCTCATTACTTATTATAATATGCACTCTGATCAGAATGCTAAATAATTGGAAAATTAATAAACTTAATAACGTTTATTATTTATGGATATTGTGGAAACTACAATGATTTAAATAATTACAAAATAGTAAATACTCAAATTAAATTAAAAAATCAAACCATGATAATATTACGAGGTGTGGCAATTAAATAACGAGAATTTGTTTCTAGCTTCTATAGTGGTAACACTGATATCTTGAAAATTTGTTGACTTAAAGTTAAAAATAAAAAAATTAAAATTAAAAATTCTCGTTATTTAATTGCCACACCTCGTATTATCACATGTAAACTATACCTTTCTGGCTTTCTGGTGGTGAATAAAAGCCAAAACAAATATAAAATATAAATATTATATTATTATATTATATTATATAGGTGCAGCACGTTAATAAATTGAAAAGTCAGTTTCCCTCGTTCAAAATGTAGTAGGAATATTTTAGTGCACTTTTTTTAATGTAGTTTTTTATCAATCCACTCCAGTTTACCATGGTTTAAAATTTTAAAAAACGGCATAATTTTTCAAAATTAAATTTTACATATTTTATCAAGGAACTTATTGATAGTTTA